TTTGTTACTCTCTCATAATTTTTGTCATGTGAAAAAATACGTGTAATACACCCTTAAATGAACGAGATAGAACGGCGAGAAAAGAAAGACGAGAAGCAACTCGAAGTTTGTGGCGGACGCATCTCGTTGTCTTCCATCGTGCACGTGTCTCGATAACGAAACCTGGCCATAATTACTTTGCTTAACTGGACATGCACCTCACGAAATTACAATTACAAATCGGTGGCGAGCGAAGCTGCATCGCACCTCCTCATCAATTATTTATGAGCTAACTCGTTGCCGTTCTCGGCGGTCCTCCTTGCTCCGAATCCACGTTTCAGATTTATCCGAGCGAGCGCGCTTCGCTTTCCGTGCAACACGCACCAGTTTTCCCGCGTATCGATGCGTGCTGCCCATGAAATGTATATCTGTCACATGCGATAGTAGAATTATGCGTTTGAAGATTTTTCGAGCAAATTTTTTTCTATGTTTACTTCTCTTATGTTAGCTACAACGAATATATATTTTTCATAATTTTTTAACAAGTAAAAATTTGTAATGTAAAAGGTTACGGTCCGATAAAAATTCTAAAACACGCTACAAATTACACATTACCTTTCTACAATGTTTAAAAATGGTCTAGCACCTCAATTATTTCACGGTCTATAATTAACCGGAAGAAATAGTTTTCTAGAAACTACAATTTTCAATGACAGTCGCTTTGAAATGTTTAGTTTAAAATTAGAAGTTCTTAGATTTTTTACAATTTAATAATTCTAATAAATTCTGATTTGATAATTTTTTACAACCTAATAAATAAATAATAAATTTTATTAAATTCCTCAGTCTATTATAATGACAAATAATACTGGCGATCATAAAATATTTTGGAAATATGTTAGCGAGCGAATAACATAATCGTATATATAATCACGATCGAGTTGCATACTTCAAGCGATAATGACGTAATGCATTCATTCGATATCTTTTTTTTTCGACTCACACCTTCGATGCTGGAAGGTCAAGCGTGGGCACTGCGAAATATGTGCGTCGTTCACTCGGCTATTCGATCATTTTTGCGCGTTAATATTAAGAATTACCCAAAGATGAATCGCACATTGCTTATAATGCATTCCGCATTAACTCTGCATTAACTCTGCCTGCATTAATGTTTTTAATTTTCCTTGGAAATTGCGTGTTTATTTACTACCTCTTATACCTTATACAAAATTCAAAACATGGCAATTTTCATTAAGTACACAACGATTTCAATCGCGCAGTTATTTTGAATCTTATCGTTAGATTAATTATATCTATTATAATTATATTAGTGCGATTTAATGAATTAGTTTAACCATTAAAAAAGAAATCTTTTTTGTTCGACATTGATTCTCAAAGTAGCTCTTTATCTCAGCATAATATAAATTTTTGATGTGCTGCAATAACTGGCAGTATTTTTATGTTAATTTTAATGATCTATAAATGAATCCAAATTAGTGATCAAGATAATATTCGTAAATTTGGTGTATCAGTAAAATATATCGCACGATAATGCTATACAATTTAATTCTTCGACAATTTGATTCTCTAACAGATTACATTTCAACCATTATCTTGAATTCAATTTAATTAATAACCCTTTTAGCCGAAAGATAACTACTCGCGATTTTTTGATAGCTAAGCAAGCATTAAGAAGATTTAATATGAAAGATGGATCTTCTTCTTACACGCCCACACAAAATTGATATGCAGAAACTATTTATTGTATTAGCATTAAACTCGTGATGCGCCGAAATAGAAAAGGTAAACTTGGCTACTTAAATTATTTAACATGAAGATTTCCGCTTGATTTTTCATCTTCAAGTCAAATGACATGCAATACGTAAATTCACAGAATAGTTTCGTTAAGAATATTATCATAATATAACCAAGGCGTACAAAAAAAAAACGATAAATGTGAGAAGGAAGAATTATTGAGAATTGAAGCAGACTGACACTTTAAAAGTTTTCTGTGAAAGATTTTTTAGAATGACTGTTGAATTATGAACACGTACAAGTGTTTGTATTTAGAGTCATGTTTAGATAATTTAAAATCCATGTTATCATGTTACAAAATTTATGAGAAAATACTATGTATAGCTTGGCATATTATGTAATAATTATGTACATCATTGAATAATTAGTCCGCTTTAGGATGTAATAATTCACATCATTGAATGACATCAGGTCCAATTTATAGACTATCTACAATCAATAGAATCTATAGGAGAATGCTATGCATAGATTATAAACGTCATTTAGTGCAAAAACATTTGCAAAATTAGAACATGAATATCCATTTTTATAAACAGCGGTGAAGATACTTTTTTTAGATGTAGTTTCATACACAGTAAAAAATCGTGCGTCCATATGTAGAATTTTTCTTGTGTTACCGCATTTTGATTATTACTTCAATGTAAAATTAACATACAACTGATATGTTATTATTTTTGTAATATTTTGATGCGTTAGATTCATGTCACCTTTCTAACTTAACATTTGCTTATGTCAATTAAAAATGGAATATCATTTTGAGTGTTTTTAACACAATTGTTTCAATTAATCTATATATCTCAAAGTCAATTTAACATCTAAGAATTTTTTCATTCACATTATACGAACAAAAATATTAACATTTTCTTACGAGTTACTGCAACTACTCTTCTATGTACTCTACTTATTTTATATGTTAGTTTTAAATCACCCTTAAAGTCAAAATAACAAATATAAATGTAAAGTATTGTGTCAATTATTTAACATTACTAGTTCATTAATAAATAACACAAGACGAATGAATTATTTTAACTTAAAATTTAGAGTGGATCTCCTGGGACATGTAAAAAATGTTAAAATTAACATTTTCTTTTTTACTGTTTAAAGATAATACGTCTGAGAAGTCTGTCGTATGACGCATCTTAATGCAAAGGAAGTGATGTCACAGTATTATGGTTACAAGTCCCTCAATAGTCGGTCATGGTTGACAAACCAAGCGTCCACTTTTTTTTACTCCCTTCAAGTCTCGCTATTCTTTTCTCGCTTAATGTAGGCCCATCTTTTGCCGGGGATTGCCCTTAGAGGTGTGTCGTATAAGAGATTAAAGTCAGGTATTAAAGTTCGTATACAGGGCGTTTTCCAATATGTGGTCACGATTTCGAAAGTAAACTCAGTTAGAAACAAAATAAAAAGAAAAAAAGATAACATATAAATATCTATTCAATTAAATTTCGCTTCGCAAGTTATAAGTCACTTTTGTATCGTATTAATTATTCATCCATTTTATACGAAATGGTCAAAGCAGATAATGATTTCCTAAATGTTTATTGTATTATTATTGAAATCTTCAAAAAAAATAGTTAATAATAAAATTATTCAAGCGAACATAAATCATATTAAAATATGAAAAAATAGCTGTGATTCGGCAACGAATTTATCTTGAACTTCTTATATAATTCTTGTGCGAGCACTGAATTTATTGATTTTTTAATATTCATATACTGAAATATAATTATAGAAAAGTAGGCGGAAGAAAGGTCTGCGCTTGATATTCGTCTAAATATTAGCTGTCCATCGGATTTGGATATATCGATACGTGGGCCGATTGTTGTGCGCGCGTTGCCTGAACAAGATGCCATATATGCGTTCGCTCGGTACAGATACGATACGTGGGCCAAAAGAACACGAGTCAAAGCTGCCTTAACCGGTCTACCTTAACCAGAATATACTTCAATATTACAAGTGATATAAAGAGAGAGAGAGAGAAAGAGAGAAAGTAGAACTGTAGTGACGCAAGAGTCGATGTACAGTTTATTGCGTTTTCATAAAAAATTCTAATCAAAAATGTTTTTTTCTATGAAACCTTTTAGTATAAAATCTTCGCAGATGGGCGCAATTTATTTTACGGACATTATGATTAATATCTGATGTAATAAAGCGTCATAGTCAAGAATAAACTTTTTCAGAGAATAAGCTTCCACAATCATATGAGCGAAAGAAATTAATAATAATTCGAAGGTTTTTGAAGCCAATCGAGTCCAACACCAGTTGATATTGTGTGTAAAATCTTTATTATAATAGACTATATACGTTTCGATTCGTGTATTGGATCCTTATCAATAGTTAATTGTGATTATAATACATCATCATTCTTCCTGGAACACTAAATTATAGTTTGTTTCATATATATGCGTTATCTTATTCCTTTAATTTCAACGTACGTTGATATATAATACAAATCAATGAATATTAATGTGCAACAATTCAATTAAAAATTATAAAAATGTATGGTGTAATAATACTCCAAATTAGAAAAATACGAACAAGAGACAGAGTCGAACATGATATTTACACTGTTTATAACATTTACATCTCTTAATATAGATAAATAGATATGACTATGAGACATTATCACAAAGTTATTGTTCTGTATTGTCAATTAATTCATTATTAGATACAAATGCAAATTTTCTCTAAACTTACATGATATATTTTTGATAAATATGAAGAACACAGCATTATTCATGTCGACTGGCTTCAAAAACCTTCTAATTTTATTCACACGAGTCAATCATTTAAGGATTTTATATTATAATAATATAATTCGTTTAATAGCAATTATTATATTATATTCTTATTATAATTATTAACCAGTATTAGACATTAACAAATGCATATTATTTATTTAATCGGTAATGCAATCTTCATTTGAAATTAGTAGATCCTTTAAATTTTGTTACATTTAAAATTATTGCGATTAAAAAAATTTATAAAGAAATCAAATTCAATTCCACTATTTTATATATACACTAACTTATATCTAATTTAAATTTTATTACTAATTATACAATTATATATAAGTGACTTTTAAATAATGCCACCTGCTGAAGAACATTCGTTCTTAAATAAACCTATTAATTTGTCTGTCGATGGAAACTTATCTTTTTTAATGCTACCATTTTTAAAGAAGATAAAATTGATTATTTTACCTGCAGCATCTCGAGACGCGACGACGCCTGCGGTGCTGCCATATTTCAGCTGTCTATTGCTTGTGGTGTTCTCGTTCTGTAAAAATAACAAAAGTTTCGTTATTTCTGAAACAATGAATGGACATAAATCAACAATAAATCTTATAGCACACAAATATGTACGTTATATTTCACAATATAACGATCTAAATTCTCTTGTTTAAATTTTAACAAAAAAATTATTTATTGAATTTTCTTGAAGAGACAATATCGATATCAAGTTTGATAAATTTTTATTTATTATTTATATATACCCTTATTATATAATATTACAAAATGATTACCGTTTATAAATTATCCATTTAACTTTGTCAATATCTAACGACGTTAATGTGGTTTATAAAAGATAATATTTTTATTTATTTATATTTTTATATACAAAATAAAACTTTTATATTTAAATATAATTATTTAGATACAAGCAAAAAGAAGAAGAGCAACGTAAGTGTAATTAAAAATATAACATTAGTTTGGAATTAACAAATTTGATCAATTTCGCATATTTCTCACGGGATTACGAATTGCCTTTCCCGTTCGTTAAATTGAGATACGCTTGCTAAATATTCCGATAAAGGTTGCAGCGTTGGCGTCATAAACACTTAGACAAATGTTGCGTATCTGTAATTCGCTACTGGCAGAGTGGTAATATCGCGGGTGAAAATAGATCGGTTCGGCGTGTGTGCACGGAAAACGATGCAGTTCCTCGAGTTCCAAATAATTACACTTAAAATAGAGTTTCATGCTGGTATTAGCTACAAAGCATAAGTGCCCCCATAAGTGGATGCATCGTAATAACCATCGGCCAAATAAATATATGGCTTGCTTTGCGCGTTTAGAAATTTATTACTTACAGATCCCTAACAACATGTCGAATATATTCCGACATAAAATTAAACATCCTCCTATCATGAAATATTAATTGGATTAATAACACAGTCCAACAAAAAAATGATTTTTTTCGAACATTGGAAAGAAATTAGTTATTTTCTACAATTCTTTTAAATGCTGAATACGAATTCGATTTCTAAATTACTGCATCGTGTCACAATTTAGAGAAATTTACAAAAGTTGCAAAAAATCTATTTTCACGTATCTTATCATATTATAATTGTGGTATGCAAAGAACTGAAGAAGTTCTATTACAATTAAAATTAAGTATCTATATTGTTAGAATTCAGTCCTCAAATGTATAGTTTATTTCTCTAGCGGGTCATCTATCATAATTTTAATATAACAAAACATATAAAAACAGTTCATCTTGGTTACTTTAATTGTCAATTTTTCAAATTGTGACGTGATGGAGCAATTTGAAAATCGGATTTATTATTCAGCGTTCAAAAAATTACTAGGGAAACTAACTAGTCCCATCTCAGCATTTTTTAAACTGTAATAAATCAGAATTTTTTAAATTGGAGCATTAAATAATATAAATTGTAAAACCAATATTATTAAGGTCGTACATACCACTATTTATATACGGAGAGAATTTTCTCTTAGAATTTAGCCTGAAAATCATATGATAATAGTGGGACAACATAGTATTTCAAAGAATTGCATATGAGTTTCTTTAATTTACTAATATGTGTCATAATAAGATATGTAATATATTTTATTAATTTTACTAAAGGGTATAGTAAAATTTCAACATTTTAAAATATGTTACGCAGTTTATGATTCTTTATTATTTTAAAAGAATAGATGCTACGTAGTCATGAATATATAAAATAGCTTATACAATTTTTGCCATACAGCATGATATTTTTAATCTGATTAAGTCGCTTATAATTTTACCATGTAACATAGTAATTGATCGATTGTAATCGATATTTATCGGTTATTTCGTTGTTGAGTGTGTCTCTAGCTACGTTAGAACTTACTCACTTCAAAACATTTTACAATCTGCATTATAATTTTTACTACATCATTTATAAAAAGCCTCTTGTATATTTCAAAAAATCTATCGTTACTGATAATATTTCATTATTGTCCCAAGCTTATTACCAAACATGATGAAATTTGTAATGAATTTTGCGGTAAAAAATAACGAAAAATTCTCTCCGTGTATGATCTGACATCGAACTACATCATTAACATGACTGGAATTTATTCATTTATTTATACTGACTGCCCTTTTTCGCCATTTACCGATGAATTGGTTCGGAATCATGACTCTTCACTACATCGTTTATTAATTATCAAGTTTGACTACATATGATATGGTTGCGATATACCGTCTTTTGCAACACGAAGGTGAGATGATTCTTAGAAATCTGTTATATTATCTATTGTAACTCGAACGTGAGATGATCCTCATAATATGTTAATATAATTAAATATTTGTTCGGATATTTGGATATATTTATGTAATTTTCGGCTGATGAGGACTAAGTATAGTCGAAACGTACCGTTGAAACTTATCGTCGGAAAATTATAATTTATGATTAATAAATATTATTTAGTACACCTAACTATAGCTCGTTTAATGTATTGACCTGGGTTTTACTATTTATTAATAAATTATAAACTTAATTTCTATATATTATAATTAAATAATAGAAACCGATATACTGATATTGGATAAATAAAAACGTAAAATTCTCTTAAGCTATCGATCTCTAAAAATCACGTAAAGAGAAACGTCAAACTACCGTGAGTGCACGCGATTTCCGAGCGGGAATGTATCAAAGGTTTATAATTGGCTTTCACTTTTTGTTTCCACCTGCCGCATTACATAGCGCAATTCGCGTGGTGACTCGCAAAGGTAATTGTAAAGCCAAAACGAATTCGAGCTCTGAATGGAACGGCTGGGGATCATTGTTGCTCTTTCGAGCGCTCCATCTCTCTGTAAAGATCGTGCCAATGTGGGTGGATCAGTAACGTGGGTGCGTTTGATATCATCACGTTTGATATCATGTTATCGGGTTCGATCGTTTTCATACGCTTCTCATCCGTGAATGTTTGTGTACAGCTGGCGTTAGAATAGTTGAAAGACATATTTCCGATCGTTAATGTACCTAAATCTACTCACGCGTAAGTAGAAGTAAACAATAACGCCATTTTTTTCGGGCGGTACAATGCGAATTCATTAAAATTCAAGACTATCGTCCTTGACGAGATGCTCCTCGGGAAATTATTGACATGTGATGGCTCGCTGTGGTAACAGTGTTTTCAGGCCAACAGACATTGTGACTCACGAACGTGACGTAATTGCGAGACTTTTATGGTTAAGAACTGAGAGGCATAGTGGTTCGCGACTTATTTGCTATTTTCTCCAAGCATGAAGGCACATTTTGCGTTAGCGCGTTATGATTAGAAGTCGCATTAGACACTTATTTAACTGTTTTAAAATTATCATAGCCGAAGCAGAGATACACAGTTGACACAGTATTCTTACAAATTACATCTATGTTAATACGTTACTGAAACATATGGGTCCTAATGATCCTGGAACATTTTTCTAATTTTTAAATAATGTAATAATTTGGGATAATTTTATGTTGCATAACCTTATTTTTTACAGTTTTGTCCTATTCATATCAATTTACCATACTATACATATACTAAGTGTTGCAATTTTTTATTTAGTCGAAAAAAATTAAAAACTTGTTTTAAAATTAGACTGAGAAAAAAGCTTTCGATATTAGTGACTATAATTACACGTTGTCGTAGTTATGATTAGGTTACTGTTGTGATTAGGTACTGTTATGATGTAACTAATAACTATATGTATAGTTCTATCAATAAATATGCATAAATAGTTGACACTGAAAATGACTACAAATAATTATTATTAATGTATTACAATAAAAATGGATGCATTATTATAATTTAACTATAATTTGTAGTAGCATTCTTTATGCCAACTATATATATTTGTTATAATAGAATTACATACAGCTATTATTGCTTATGTTATAGCACTAATAATCATAATAATGGTAACATGTAACAGTTATAAATACCAAAAGCTTTTCTCTTAGTGTGCAATAACAAAAAATTTAATAGAACTTAAAAATCCATTAGTTCTTTTAGCGTCATAAAAAATATATTCCTGTTACGAATTCATCAACAGAAAATAACAAAAAACGTTATCTATTTTATCTCGTTTCAATTTTATTTATTTTTATCGTAAATTGTTCTATCTTCATCGGTATACATAAACGATGTTTACGGTTGAAGAATTTATTTCATTACATGAAACTCTGGAATTGAAATAAATGCATTCGATTAGGTTCAATTTGTAAACTTCGCAAATCTGTCGAGTTCGACGGCATACGCACACAGCGAACGAAAACGTCCGGTGACCCAGGTATTCGACTTTTGCGTGCTCTTATTGCATGGATTATTTATAGTTTTACTAAAAACGTACTCTTCGCCACGATTACCATAGGCTACTCCCATACGTATGGTCACCACCAAGTACACGGTTTCATTTCTATAATTAAACTGCACGCGCGTGCGGTCATTTACGATAAAGTTCGTGAAAAGTGAACGAATACTTGTGCTGATAAATCCAAGACAATGGAAGGGCGAACGAGGGCAAACGTAAATGGGAAGCACAATATCATGCTACGAAGAGTCGCGGCGACCAACTTTAATTGACGTCTTGAAAAGAAGTGTGCGAGAAGCGCACTTTATTCTTCCGGTAATTAGGTATGACACTCCCATGGCGGTAGATAAGAATCTCTGCAGCAACTTAATAACGCACGAACCACATCGGAATTTTTGATGTTATTACTCGCGCATGCGTGTACAAAATGGTTGGTGATCGTGTTCAATTAGGTTCGCACTCGCAGATGGCGAGCACGTGCCCAATTTGAAAACGAGGGAGAAAAGGCACCAGGCATTTATGCAGCTGAATGCATTTGATACGTCATATTAGAATAACAACGCGACGTAACACGTGATGCAATTGCCTGGAGAGCACGATCGATTCCTCCAGTGGATTCGATTATTCGCGCAAGTTTGTCAGCTAGATTTATCGGGTCGTAATTTCGCTTCCTGTACACAGTAAAAAATCGTGCGTCCATATGTAGAATTTTTCTTTGTTATTACATTTTTACCACATTTTGATTATTACTTCAATGTAAAATAAACATACAACTAATACGTTATTATTTTTGTAACATTTTGATGCGTTAGATTCATGTCACCTTTCTAATTTAACAATTGCGTATGTCAATTAAAAATGGAATATTATTTTGAGTGTTTTTAACACAATTGTTTCAATTAATCTATATATCTCAAAGTCAATTTAACATCTAAGAATTTTTTCATTCACATTATACGAACAAAAATGTTTTATTAACATTTTCTTACGAGTTACTGCAACTACTCTTCTATGTACTCTATTTATTTTATATATTAGTTTTAAATTACCCTTAAAGTCAAAGTAACAAATATAAATGTAAAGTGTGTCAAATTGTGTCAATTATTTAACATTACTAGTTCGTTAATAAATAACACAAGACGAATGAGTTACTTTAACTTAAAATTTAGAGTGGATCTCCTGGGATATGTAAAAAATGTTAAAATTAACATTTTCTTTTTTACTGTGTAAATTTGTACGACATAACACGAGGATTTTTTTTCTCTATGATCTGTATAACACTAGAACCGTCGATAGTTATCCCTCTAGAACTGTTGAAGATGCCAGTTTAGTAATTCCCTATCTTCGTTTATACGATTAATATAAAGTTATTTTGGTATTATTTATGTCATTAGAATTATTTGTATTATATTGACATAAATATTTTCAATTCTGTACTGTATATTAAAATCTAATACAAAAAATAAAAAAATAAAATACTCAGCAAAGTCAAAATGGTACCATCGGCGATTTTAGTTGATAATAATCCGCTACGTTTACATAGAAATTTCTATGTGGTGGTGCAAAACTTGTGCGGAACTTCAATTAAAACACACACGTTACCTTAATTGCCATAGAATTCATTTAGTTAAATTCGCAATTAATTAAATAGCGCTAGATTACAATTCTGCATTGATTAAACGCCAAATTGGCATTGTACGATACAAAACAATATTCGATATAGCTCTCCGGAGTTAATTAGTCCGCAATTAATGCCACAGCGGCTTTTAATAACATCTTTGAGATACGGACGATATGGGGGAGAAGTGGTGCTTGCGATGATTTAACGGGCTGTGCGTAACGGTGCAATTAGGTGGCTGCATCTTAAGAACGCGTCTGGCCATTCCGCGCTCTCACATTCCTATTATCTCTCATCTTGGCTCGGCAAAGTCCAGACACACGGCAGACGCAATTTCTTTCTCTCTCCGAGTAATCGTTGAAAATTACGCCGTGGGTCTAACATGGTGGGATTGGCGTAAAACGGAGCTCGAGAATTATTTGCGTCGCTTATCCACGGACACCTTCAAGATTGCGCAATTATAGTGGAATTTAAGCGTGCGACAAGCTGCGCGATCTCATTCATTGAAATAAATTGTAGCGGCATGAGGGAATTTCCATTTTGTAAAACATTGTTCCTGTGTGAGAAACTATATATCAACTAAACTTTCTGTATTCATGGAAGACATTTTATAAAACGTCCCATACAGCATAAAAGCCTGCAGCAACGTTGCTACATTACTGCAATATTGCTGGCACGCTGCAATGTTGCTGCAATATTGCTGGAACGATCTGTACTATATATAGGCGTGATAAATATATTTTTAATTATAGTGTAAATGTTCAACCTCTATTTATATCTTAAAATGCAGGGTATTCGTTTTATCTCAATTATAATGGTGAACCTGTAATAATGTATATTCATGTATCTATTGTTTTGCGAGCATTAAAGGGCAGATTATCAAAACAGCGCTCCATTGTTTTGCTGCGCACATGATAAATATTTGCTTAAATTAAACTTAATAATTTAATGATACTTTCACATCATTAATTATAATTTTGGGAAAAGAATGAACAAAATAATGACTTTATTATTAGTTATGCTGTTAACCATTCTGAAAATCGTTATAAAATATTATTAACGAAAGCTGGGAAACCAGAACTAATTTTGAACAGTATTTCGTGATAAATTAATGAGCATTGAAGTGGCATGCAAAATTTGATTGATATTTCTCGAAGAAATGTCAATGTTACTAACAATATGGACGATTAATTAAGTGATTTTACGGAAAAATATGATCTAAAAATATTGGTATTGAAAAACCTTTTCTAGATATTTTCGTTCAGAAGAAGTCTATTTCAAAAAATATTCTTCAGCGTAAGAAAGTTCAATGGTTTTGTAGGACAGATCTATACAAAGCGTCAGACCAAAAAGATCGGATTGTTTTGACAGCCTTTTTGACGTTCCAAAATGTAACTCGCACAGCATCGTTCGCCCTACGTTTGTATGCGTCTGTTGCATTATTAATGTGGCACGATAAGGCAGAATCTACTTAGCGCTGAACTAGATAGCGAACAAAATGTACGAGCAACAGCACCGATGTGATACAAGCGAAAGGGAGAGAGAGAGAGAGAGAGAGAGAGAGAGAGAGAGAGAGAGAGAGAGAGAGAGAGAGAGAGAGAGAGAGAGAGAGAGAGAGAGAGAGAGAGAGAGAGAGAGAGAGAGAGAGAGAGAGAGAGAGAGAGAGAGAGAGAGAGAGAGAGAGAGAGAGAGAGAGAGAGAGAGAGAGAGAGAGAGAGAGAGAGAGAGAGAGAGAGAGAGAGAGAGAGAGAGAGAGAGAGAGAGAGAGAGAGAGAGAGAGAGAGAGAGAGAGAGAGAGAGAGAGAGAGAGAGAGAGAGAGAGAGAGAGAGAGAGAGAGAGAGAGAGAGAGAGAGAGAGAGAGAGAGAGAGAGAGAGAGAGAGAGAGAATGCACTCACCGTTGTCTGCGGGAAAGGACTCCGGCACACGAGGTAATCACAGATGATCCGTGGCCCGTCTTTACGCGAGGAGGACCAATGCAGCACTGACAGTTCCACCGTCCCTCTCTGATTCATCCTGTAACTCCCTCTCCGTCCTTCTCCCTCCCGGCTGGCATGAAGAGAGTAAGAAAGCGACGGTGAGTAAACGAGAAGGGTTCATGAACCCGAGAGGGAACGTTGGAGGGAGGAAGTGTCAGGTGAACGTGGTGCGTCCTGCTAGAAATGACGACGTTCGGACAGGTCGGATCGCGTGGTCCCTTCACCGGATGGTATCCTTTGGAACTTCAAAGATATAATCAAGTTTCTTCATGATAAAGTGATTTATCGACATGATGGATCATCTGGAGATGATAGACTAGTTGGTCATGCTTGATAAATTGAGATCTTAATAAGTATTTTGTAGAGAGGGTGTATTAACAAAAGACAGCAATCGGTAGACGATACTGTGTAGAATAATGTGTTAGTATTATATATATTATATAAAATTAGCACTTTTGCAGATTGAGATAAGATATTATATTAAAAAAATAAATTTTATTTAAATAAGATGCACACGGAGAGAATTTTCTTTTAAAATTTACCCGGAAAATATGGTAGTTGTGGTACAACACAATATTTTAAAGATTTTTATGCACTTCAGTAAAATTAATCAAACTTATTTTATAGTTTATTGCAGTTTTATTAATGAATGAGAGAAATTTACATCAAAATTCTTCGAAATACAATGTTGTCTCACAACTATCATATTTTCAGGGTAAACTCTAAGAAAAAATTCTCTTTGTGCACTATTAATCGTTTTTCCTAACGTGATATTAAATTATGTACACCATGTTTATTAAAAAATTTGGCGTTTTTAAGGATGAATCCTTGCTTAAAACTGATTTGTATTTCCTATGAGGTTTATTTTAAAAGAGTTCAAATTTCCAGAACGAATTTTTTGAACCACTGAATAGTCTTTTCGCTAACAAAGGCCTCCAAAGACCGATATAATGTTTCTACCTGCCTCAGCTGCACTGTGTCCTAGTTTTTGCAATTCATATAAGAAAAATATGCGCAATCCTTCCACGGAAAACATTCGTTTTCTCTTGTGGAAAAAATTAACAATCAAAAATAGTCTGCTTATTAAAGAAAATTAAACATAAAAATAAATTATTAATAGCACAACTGCAAATACTTTCTATCAAGTTTACTAATTGCAATCAATTGTCAATTAGTCAAATTTCGTATGGTGCAGTCTCATATATACATATATATCCTTTTTTACGTTGATTGCAATTTGATGAGTATACACAGTGCTTCAGATATTTCGTCGCGATCCATATTATGCTGGTAAAACATAGTCATTCAATCATAATAGGGGAAAGAAGATGACATTACACTCAGAGAAAAAGACATAGTGATATCAACTATTATAACAGTAATAAATAATACAAGTTTTACATGTAAAATTAATATATATATATATATATATAGAGTTGAATAAATTATTTTATAGTTGCAATAGCTATACAAAATAGTTTATTCAATTACCCAACAAACAAACTGACGTTATTTGTCATCATTTTAACGTCAAAATCTTAAATGAGACTTATATGTTTAGTTATCATCTTTATACAATTATTACCACAAAGTTTTTCTCTGAGTGAATACCTCTGTAACGTACGAAGTTCCAATATTCTGCATCAATTGTATTGCAACACAGCGAAAATTAGTAAAATTATAGTGTTAAGAAAACTGGTTGCTTAAGATTTTAAATCAGTATATTGTGAATGGTGCGTTGTAATGTTTTAATTTATTTAATTATACACAACTCTTGTCTGGCGAAACTGCATATAGTTTTTTCCTAATATGCATGAACGATATTTATCTAGCATTCATGCATTTGCATTTGTGACGTTTCATATAACGATTAAATATGTACTGTTTGTTTTTGTTATCTCCACAAAATGGAAAGCTAAATTTCGTCGAGTAGCGTGATCAGTATGTACAAGTTATATTTACTAGTGTCCAGGACCGTAATCGATTTTGTCCAACCTATAGGCCGTAGGGGCGCAGCTCGTACTCCTACGAGCAAGTCATTATCGAATGCGTCTGATCGCTTATGATAATGGCGTTTCAATATTCAGTAGATGAGTAAGCGGCCGAGTCATCGAGTAACTTCTAATTTTAATTTCTCGTTCGTGTATACCTACCATTGTTGTGCCTGAGGGCCAATATCGAGGGCAATAATATTATTGCTTTCGTCTCCCGGCGGTAGGCACCACCCAGGCACGTTAACGAGCGCAAGTCTGATCACCCGATAAAGTCATTTCTGCGTTGAAAACAATTTATTCGATATTGCAAGAACGACGTAGGCTAGACATCTCTGACGGATCGAAGATTACCCTTCCCTCTTTACCTCCTTCCCGTCTCGCGTTTAATTCCTCGTTGCGGTCTTCGGAGCTGGGATATCCGTCATTAGAAATAAGGTCGCAAACTACGGGGCAATGTATATATCTCGTGCATACGTGAGAGGAGGAGGGAGGGCCTAACCGCGAGATCTGCAGATGGTGCGGCGTCTCGATTCTGCCTAAACGGAGACCTCGGGTACTACCATAAGCTCCCGCTGCACAGAAGCACATTAATTCTATTCCCTTTAATTAACGGTTCCGTGCTACGCCAGCTTAGAGACCTTTTCGAGGATAACGCGCGAGTTCCGCCTTCGCAAGACATCTATGCTGCAACCGTTCGCCGTGACATTTCTGCATTATGCGACGATTGTTTGGCGAGGTTTCGACTAATTCATGCTTCTACTGATATCAACAAGGAAAAAATTGTTTGTCAAAACGTCTATCGAGATTTACTTTAGCTTTTGAATTAACGCAAAGATTAATCTCGTTGCACCGTAAAGGAAACGGTAATCGATTATTTAAATGTAGAATTAGATTTACAAAGTAGTTTTAGAACTTATTAATCTTTCAGCAGTAGTCACGAATAGATAAATTAATAGCAATCCAATGAAACTTGTATCCACCGAAACTCGGCTTGTTCACTTTTCGCATGTGCCAAAGAGGAGAATAAATTTCTATTAATGCAAAAGCTGAAAGGACCATCTCATGATTACAACATTTTTGCTTTCAAGATCGCTCGTCCCCTTTAGCTCAAATACGCTTTGTGCGAACGAACTTTCTCGTAAAGTAAACTTCCCGATCCTCTCGGAGAAACGAGATGGGAGAGACAAAACCGCGGCAAAAGTTTTCTGGAAAAAGGTGTAATTTAACTCTTTCGCGGCGAGTGCATGAATTATCAACGGGAATACAGGAAACTTGGTGAATTTATTTTAAAGGAGACACGTGAATTCGATTTCCCACCAGACAATTTTACTTTCAAAATTTTTGATAAAACTTATTTATTAATCTTAACTCTCTCGAAAGTTGATTTATAATAATAGTTATTGACATTGTGGGTCTGTAAAACCCATTTATGTTAATTAAAAAGCATAAATTAATTTCAAGGAACCAAAGTGATACAACTCGTATATAAAAATAAATAGACACTGAGTATATTTTAATAAGAATAAAGAAAATTGATTGTTTGACATTTTTGACAAAGAGAATTATAATTGAGTGAGTCCTATAGACCTACCGTCACAGTTGTGTGTGTGTGGGAGTGAGAGTTAATTAATTTCGAATCTTCTCTCGCAAAAGTATACCACGAGATGCACGAAGCGAATCACGGTTATTTCCATTTCGTTTCTTGTTTATAATATAGGTGAATGTTATATCTTTCGTAGGTGGTAGGAAACGTGTGACTCATTTCTTTTTGTTCACTGTGTTACATAAATGTTACATCATGCTTCCTTCAAGGTATACGAGAGTGATCTTTTTTTATTCTGATTCGCACGGCACATTGTTTCCATTACACTACTATGATCATGAATATAAAAAAATATGTAGAAAATAAATATAAGAACAGAAAATAGTAAACATAAGAAATTATGTAGAAAAAACTGGAATTCATTATACCAGACTGACCAAAAATGTATAATACAAACGGGAAAAAGAGAATTATTATGAACGAGCAAAAACCACAGAATAAGTTTAACGAAGAGAATAATTAATTTATTCTCTATATTAATTATGAAATTTTCAAAATCAATTCACACAACATAAAAAATTATTTAAACTTTTATTTATTTAAAATCTTTTTCTGATACAACAAAATGTCTTCTTTCCATTAAGTATTTTATGTATAATATATTTGTTTGGATCGACACATGTATATTTTGTGTATATTTGTTTTAAAATCGTTTTCTCGATATTTCTTTACGAGGGTAAAAATAAATTAAATATGTATTTTATATTGTGTGTGTCAATATCAACGATATTAATTTAATTCGATATAAAAAATTAATAATAAAAATAAAAATTAAGTAAAGGGCATATAAGAGTCAATAATCTGTAAAACTTAAAAGTAAAATAAAGACATATAATATACATATAATATACATAATTACTCGATATAAATTCTTACAATATCTCAGTGGTATAATGTCTCGATTGCCTAATAATTACATGTTTCGGCTACTTGATCGAGTCATCCTCAGATTCACAAAAAATATGTAGTCGTAAAATGCAGCAAACGAGTGAATACAAAAACCATGATAAGAATATTTAAAGTTAGCAATCTCCGATGAATTGTACGTCGATAGACATAAATTATTCCCAAACAGTTGGTAGACTGAATGTTGAAATTTCAATCAAACTGTGAAATAATATGAAAAATTGAGAACAATGTAAAAGGTCAAATTTATTATTCTTAAATCGTTAATCAAAGTAAAACTCACCGAAGAAGTCACAATATATGTATGATAAAAATTAAAACGTGTGTTTAATAATGGTCAAGAACTTTTATAGAAAGTACGTCAATCACATATTAAGGCAAACTGGATGACAAGTTTAACGTATGTGAACGTGACAACAATTAATAATAAATTAATTTGTAATAATGGAAGTGAATAAACTTTGGCTTTCACTGGTTGCTACATCGCAATTGATTCGATACCTCCGAACTACCC